ACTCGAAATTTTGTACAAAGATTTTTAACAACAATAGTGCTAAAACTGAGCAGAAATTATAAGTAGTAAAATTTGGAAAAATTTATCGAAAGTGATATCGTGCAAAACAATTAAGCGAACGGCAGAGAAGTCAAAAGAAATTAAATCAAATGATAAGCGTACGAGTATAACTTATTGTGAGCCAAATAGTAGTGAGTAGACCAACAAAGCTCTTTAAATATTTCAGGTCAGGTCTAAATTACTAAACTATAATTAACTGCACTATAAAAGTGCATACCTAACATTTTTTTTAAAGGTTGTGAATGAAATCTTTGAAGATTTGCTGAAATTTTATTTACAATTATGGTTCCTGTTCCGGTTTTCCATACAAAATTGAGTAATTTTATGAGGTTTCCTTGGCAACGAGGCATTTACGCATTTACATGAATTGCACAAATATTCAAACTCCGACTTTTGCATTTCTCTTTCATTTTTGGGGAATCCTAACGGGATTTTTATCTAGTTTATATTTTTTTAACAATTATTTGCAGTAACAGGAGAATCGACTTTCTGCGAAATTGCTACTTTCTCTGCATTTTGCCTTAAACAATTTAATACGAACAAATAAAAATTAAAAAATCCTCTTTTAAATTTGATTAGCCTTCAATAAAAAAAAACCTAGCATATTAAAATCAGTTGCCAATTGAAGGTTTTGCACTGTTTTGTAAACTCCAGTTTGCGGCTAGCCATATAAAGTAAAGAATATGTTTATGTGTGAAAGTATCTAATTGTGCACAGGGTTTGGGATCCGTCACTTAAAAATTTCCTTGGGAGATGGAAAATCTTTAAAAGATTTGAAGGCATACACCTGGAATGCTATGTCCTTTAATGCGGAGGAGCAATGACATACATCACATCCACCCAAGAGATACGATGAACGAAATAAGGTAAAAAGAACGTAGGACCTTGCGCCATCTACTATATGTACTTGTCTTTTGAAGGAGCGCATTTTCGGTGTTGGATTCGAAGACGGAGAGGAACTTTTTTTTGTCAAGTAAGTAAATGCGCACTAAAGCAAGATCCTTCACCATCTCGCTCTTTTGCGTCGAATATCAGACGACCAAAGATTGTTTGAATGAACTCTAAGAATGGGCTGACGAGAATTGCCACCGTAATGACATAAGAATCGTGCTTGGAGGCTTCAACTCCAAGGTTGGCGATGAAGGTATTTTGGCACAACAATCAAACAAATCAGTCTCTACAATCATACGTCCGATAACACAATGAGGCTGATCCTTTCCGCCGAAGCCCGAATCATGGTAGGCTGTAGCTCCAAGTTCCATGTTCCATCGCTTCGATCGAGTTAAATCGAAATTCGAAAGTGTGAGCAGCTTGAGATACTGGCCTATAGCGTGGACGCCCGAAAAGTAGCGCACAGAGCACACTTAAAATACATAGATGATGATGATGAGCCGAATCCGCCGATTTGGCGAACTTGCCATATGTGCCAAGCTCCCCGCGACTTGCTTTCTGAGCCTAGGCTGTACGGTCTAATTGAGCGTTTTGTGTGAAAGTATTTATAAGGACGGTGGACGTTGAACTGATTAAAACTTATCAGTGTGGCTATAGACCTGGTAAATCTATCATAGATCGGGTGTTCATCTTCCGCCTGATTTCTATAGCATGAAAAAAGTTGCATTTATGCCACGATATCTGAGTTTAGTATCAAAACCATTACGGTCTTAACAACCGCACTATTTGATCTGTATTGATCTGTAATGTTGGATATGGATGCTTCACTAACATAACTATTGACAGTTATATTTTCGAAGTTGTAGAGGAAATTGTCTACTTGTGAACTATCGTAAACATAAATAACTATGTGTGCCTGGAGATCTAAGAAAGCATCTCGCTCTTGCCAACAAGTGCTAGTTTGGACTCAGCAGGCAGCTGAGATCCTTTGTAGTATCACAGCGGGCCAGATTGAGGGTTGTTGTTGTTGTAGCAGCATACAAATTCCCCAAAGACTTTTTGGGGAGTGTTGCTGGAGTGACAGTCCTTGGCCAGATATAAATCTGGGTCGTTCCGGTTACGTAGACCCGACTATCGTGGGGACCACTCACTGCCACTTCAGTCTAATTTAACCTACAGCGCCAGACAAGAAGCACAGAAGGAAACATGTGAGAGCTTTGTTGGTCGAATATGTAAAGACCTATACCAATATAAAATTAAATGTGCTATTTAGTGTAGAATGTGTTTACTAGATACCCGAGTATTTTTGTTTTTGTATTGCAATTTTACACAAGTTTATGTCAACTTTAATCAAAACTTATTGAAAGTATGTATGACATGGTAGGTTTACACAAATCGAAAATACTTAGATTGTCGTTATCAATAACAGAAAAATGGTCCCAAAATACAAATTTGAAATTTTGAATAAGTTTTAAACTATTTATGTTAATATTTGAAATTAATATCTATTTGGGGATTTTACCAGTAGTACAGTCAAATTTGGGCCGAAAATGAGTACAGTGGATTTGCAAAACTCAGGGGGCTGCGACTTCGTAGCCATGTTGAAAATAAATGTGGGCAGCGTTTTTTCTCCTATAGGGGAAGACGTATTTTGGGATCTCAACTAAATTCAACCCAATGTTAGTCTTTATGCCTGGTAGTCAAACCCTGGTAGGATTTTGCTCCATCTCATCACATATTTTTTTTTATAATATTACCTCTTTTTGGGTAAAAATTCTTTTATTTTTCATGAAATATTACGTACACGTATTGTGACATAACTTTTAATTAATTTTATTTTCTTAAATATAAAATTTGAAACTGCTTTTAAAATTTTTGTCGCATCTGGCCGGGTTTAGACTAATAAGAACGTGTAAAATGAAGAGGGTTGAGTTTAATTCGTAATTTTCATGTTGCGATTTTTGCGATTTATGAGAAAATGTTTTTTTTTTTTTGGTAGTAAACTATTCAGGAGTTGGAGGAGAGAACTCAATAAACAAAAGAGAAAAAAGGCCGCTTACATTTATACCTTTCAGGATTTCAATTAAAGTTAAAATGATTTGACAATATTTTTCGAAAAAAGCCACTGTATAAATAGTTTTTATAAGTGGCGTGTTTTTCTTTAATATGGATATTTAGAAAAAAAATGCAAACAAACCACAAACCAAAAAGTGACCACTTAGGATCAAATGGTTGTCGAGGGTTAAGATTTTTTTCAATCAATAAAAAAATATCATGTCGATTTTTAAATGGCACAGTGCAGCAATATTTTTTTATGGTCTTATTAAATTTGCAATTTTTCGCTGAGTGTTTTTAAAATAAATGGAAAAAGGGGTTAAAATTCATATCGGAGCTAAATATTTAGTTTGGGTGAATAAAGCTAAATTTTACGAGTACTAGTTTTGTAGAATATTTAAATCCTTTAGCGTTCCAACGAAACGGTAATTTTGACCGCTTTTTTGGATAGCCTGAATAAAATGGAATTTGGGAGGCCGTTAGGGTGTTAAAATGTTCTATAAAATTATTCGCCGGAAAACTTGACTAAGGGTATTCTCTAACAAATTTATGAACAAAATGTAAACCAAAGCATAACAAATTTTTTGCATATTTGTTTTTTAATTTCTGTGTACTTTTACGTTCTTTTTATAAAGATTTTGTTGAATAACTTTTAAGAATAATTTAACCCTCTATCGACCTACTAAATGCCATTTTATTCAGACTTTCTATTGAGTTAAAATGTTCTGTATAATAATTTCGCTCCGATTTGAATTTTAGCTTTTCTCCCACTTATTCTACATAAATTTGCCCTGAGAATACAAACAGATTTTGAGGTTTTACTTTATGAGTCTGGGATCTTCATTCTGAGTAGGAATCATTCAGCCCCAGATAATGAACCTGAAATTGTTGCTCAGTGTAATCTACTTGTTTGGTCATAATTTATTTTTTGCCACAAATTACCCAAGCTACATTTTAAAAAGGAATTGTGATAAGGTCGAGCAAACTCCTCTCGGAATTTGACTGTACTACAACGAGTTTGTCATTTTACGATGTGCTTGCGAATAAATATTCTTAGGGTGCTATATGTATGCATTTGTTAGCAAAGCAGGGGAATATTTAAAAATACGCATTTCTAAAAATAGTGACATAGGACCTTTTACATTGACAACGACAAGTTGTTTACTATATACCACACGATTAATGACATGTCTGTTTGTCTTTATTTGATAGGTGAAAATTAAATTGGAAATATGAGTATCAAATTATTCACAATGTAAAAAATGACTTTCTTGAAAGTTAGTTAACACATACCAGTGGCAGAGTGGCAAGCGAGAAAAAGTTCGATTTTTATTGAAATTCAACTTTTGATCTCCACAAGCTAGAATTGTTTCAAAACATTGATTTACTACGCAATCGTCTTGAAATAAATTTGAGTAGTAAAAAAAACAAGCATGTACTGGGTAAGAACTAACAATGAAGAACAATGTATTAACCACAAAAAGAACGATTTCTCTAAAGTCATATTTTTCGACTCATTCGTTTCTTGCGTGAAGCCACTGATATGTTTGACAAACAAAAAAAAAAATACATCAAGGATCTAAATACAATATTTGGCTAATTATTTTATATCAAAAGTAGTAGTTTTAGTGACAGTTTTTTTTTGGTAGGCACTGTAATTGGTTATGCGTTCGAGCATATTTTGTATGAACGAGTAGTATAGTGGTATGCACGTAAGTATGTAGTAGCAGTTTCGTCATTATAACAACAACACAAACGTGAATACAATCAATTTATGTACATACATACGTACATACGTATGTAGATACGAATAGATATATGTACGCTGGTACATAATTATTCAGTTACATACAACATAAATAAGTACTAAATAGTTAGGAGATGGTTGCAGGTTATTAACACAAAAACAAAAAAAAACAGCTTACATACATATGTATATAGAACTTAGATACTAAGTTACTCATAGGTATATCTACATAATTTATTGCACTCACCCAGTAGTCAAACGTCGGTTTCGATACTAACGGCCAGGGCATTATTATGCCTTAGCGTTGTTGTTGTGGTGGTTAGGTTATTGCCACCGGTGACGCTTGTAGCGGCTTGCTTATAACCATTTTGTTGTTGCTGCTGCAGTTGCAGCGCTTGTTGGTGTTGTTGCTGCTGCTGCTGCTGCTGCGACAATTTCGGCGACGCCTGCTGTTGTTGTAATTGCTGCTGCTGCTGCTGCTGCTGTTGCTTTTCGATCGATTGTTGTTGTGCTCCTAAAAATGGAGCCACCGCACGACCAGGATGCATTTCACTTAATCCTGGCGTTGATTCAACACCATCATCCAAATCCATCATATCCGATGAGGATTCAGATAACGATGATTTCTTTAAATGTTGACCTACTTGTGAATGTACGATTGGGGTGGATATCAATTTTGTGTGGGGGAAAGGACAATGAGGCAGGAAGAAATGACATGGAGGGGAATGAAAATTAATTTGATTTAGGTGGATATGTATGCATTGGGGTAATGCGACATGGTTTTGGGTTGCAAAAAGGAAGTGGTTGAAGCGGCGGACGAATGACGGACGAAAGGTTAGTTAGATGAGAGAAATGGTTAGTTAAGAGAGAAGAGAAGGGAATTTGTTGAAAATTAACCAGAAAAGTTTGCAAATACATCGCAAAAATACTTCAGATAACTTTTACATATTTTTTAATGTGATTAGTTGAGTATGCAATAATGGGTGACTAGATGTGTGTGTGTGTGTGGATGCATTGATAGTTCATGATGTTCCTTTTTATAGTTTCATATATATTTCCCTTTCCTTTGCACATTTTAAAGCTGAGGTGATTATATATATGTGTATGCGTGTAGCATTTAATTTCTGACTTTGATTTTTGCTTTAGCTGGAAATCTTTAAAAGACCTCAACTGCTTTATAAATCGAAATTTTTTATGAAAATGCCACTTTATAAAGCTTTTAAAATCCATTTTATTTTTTATGAAAAATGCCGAAAGTCTAAAGCGGTTACTATGCCTCGAAAAGGACCAGTTCATAATAAAAACCTTTTTTTAACTTTAAAGGAGGGAAATCTAAATACATACACGCTTTTGTCGAAAAATGTAACAACTCGTGAGATTCCCTAATAGATACATCAGGCTCGAAACGTCCCACAGAGTATCGACTATATGGAGCACGAATATCAGAAAAATTTTACTACAACCGATTACTACATTTGAAATTAGTTGTTTGGGCGCCATGGAGGAGAAACAAAGACCTTATAAAGCACCGATAATAATCGGTTTCACTGCCGTATATGATCGGTATGTAAACCGGTAATTCAATTTAACGGTCTTAGCCGTATACATAAAGGAGTACTTTTATTTGAAAAATCAGTGGTAGAGGCGATAACGAGGGAATATGGTGTAAAATTTCATGTTCCTAGCTTCGTAAATGTAGAAGGTATTACGAACAAGTAAAGAAGTATAAGTTCGGGTGCCAAAACGAATTTTATATACCCGGCGCAGTTATCAAATATCGTCGTTTCAACTTTCTCTCAACTACCTTTGCATGATAAGCAGGGGTGGTTTTCCCCGATTTCAATCGTTTTCTATAATATACTGACTTAATGAAATCATTGAATCAAGTTTGGGTGAAATCGATAAAGCATTTACCGAGATCGACCTTTGTAGTCGTAAAGTGGGCGGTGCCACGCCAAATTCCTAAAACTCTATAACAGTGTTGTTTATTGTAAAGAGACTGTTGTAAGTATTAACTTGGAGTAAATTAGTATCCTCAGTTTTTGAAATATCGGAGTTTTCGTATTTTTGAAATATACCGTTATATGGGAAGGGGGTGTAATTTTAGTCCGATTTGAATAATTTACAACAAAGTGCTTTTCCGTACCAAGATTATAAGGTACACCAATTTTAGTTGAATTTGATGAATCGGTTACCGAGATACATATTTGTGGCCATAAGTGGGTGGAGCCACGCCCATTGTCCAAAAATTTATAATAATCAAATTTTCTGCTAAGTGATTATTACAACCGTCGATTTTGAGTGAATTAGTTTCAATAACTACTGATTTATCGCAACTTTCGTGTTTCTGTAAATTACCGTTATATGGGAGGTGGGCGTGGTGATTGCCCGATTTCAGATTTTCATCAGATTAGTTGGAGCCTAAGCAAGGCTCGGACCGAGTTTGGTAGGGATTGGTGAAGCGGCTACAGAGATACAGCATTTCATCATAAGTGTGCGGGGTCACGCCCATTTTCCAAAAATTTTACAATAATATTAGTTTATACTATAATTCCACCTCACATACTAATTTTCAACAATTTCGATTGAATATTTACTGAAATATCGTAGTTTTTTCATTTTTCGAAAATACCGTTAATCAATCTGATCACTTAGGTATACATTTGTCTATACCTATCTCGATTCGTTTTGGCTGTTACAAACAACCGTTATGTGAAAAAAATTATAATGTCCTTGTGCACATGTGCGCTCGGGTATAAAAATCGCATATCTCAACAATCAGTAGTCTGATTTTGCTACCAAATTTCATTAACTCAGAAACTATATGAAATTCTCCAACACATGCTAGACGCATGTCCTGACATGTCCTATGTACATTTCCAAGTAAATTTTGTTAAAAAAAAAGAAAAATACCAAATAAATGCTAAATGCATTCTCGTCACTGATGGGCACTGCCTTGCCCGCGGGCAAAGCTCTTTTAAGCTTTCTATACATTTTGTATAGGTGCGAGCAGAGTAAAAGCTCTCTCTGCCCATCGCTGATTCACGTGAATAAACGATGACACTTTATACGATGTTTCCACGCTTCGTAATTCGCTCTCTAGTTCTTGTTCTTGTTCTTCGCTATTTATTATTATTTTTGTGTACTGCAAATATCGAAGATGGAGCCAAAATTTAAGTTATCATCAACAATTACAATTTATATAGAGAATATTTTATTAATATTAGTCTATAACTAGAAAAATTGCCAGCAAATGGAACCAGGCCTGTGAAAACTTCGATATATTTCTGATAAATATTAGAGAAGGCACCGATTCTTTCTTCATTCGCATGGTAATTTGATCTGAATTACCTACAAATGAGGTAATTCGCTCTCAAAATTTTGTATGGAGAATTACGTAATTCGGAAGGTAAGTGACAAGGCGAATGACGAATGGGAGAGCGAATTTCAAATGAGAGAGCGAATTACGAATCGTGAAAACGCCGTATTAGATAATTGATTACGGTTAAAAAATGAACACTTACTTTTATGGGTTAAACGCCAAACGCAACTAAAATAATTACTCGATATTGCGCCGATTCTAGTATTTTCTTTTTGGAAACGTACCATTCGTTAAGAGGGGAGGTAAGAAAATGATGTGGAATTTTGTATTTGTCACTCTTACTTTTTCCTCTCTAAGCCCCACAGTTTTTTTTATCAACTGTCATCATCACTTCTTTCCACCTGCCTCCCACGATCCAGAAAATAAAGGTCGCGCCATTCGCGGACCGCTAACCCTCTCATCGTCGATTTGACAGCATCCACCCAATCGCTGACGTCATAAAATACTTTTGTTTACATTCACTGTTGCCAACTTAATGCTTTTCGCACCAAATTTAGTGGGTATTCAAAACCCGAACATTTTTGAGTTTGGTGCTTGGTGCGTTTTTGGTGCTTTTGTTTTTAGTTTGAAGACACCAAATTATAAAATCTTAAAAAAATGGAAGCAAAATTTATAGCAATCATAAGCGTGGTAAGCAACTTCACAAAAATTTTAATAAAATCATGGCACAATCATAAGCGACAACAAAATATGTGGCAGCAACTTCAATCAAGCCAGAAAAAATCGACCGTCGTGCAAGAAACATTGATTTTTATTAATTTGAATCGGCATCCTTACAATATAATTATGTATGCATATAAAGTCCATAAAATACACCAATAAATATTTGGTGCTTTTTCAAATTGAAAACTTGGCAATACTGCCTTTTGTTCGATGCTTCCTCTTTTTCTTTTCGAGTTCGTCTTGCTCTCTCATTCTGGTATTTATTGACGTCACGGCCAGTTACTCTCAGCTCGACGGGCGCAATCTTGTATTCTATCATTCTTGCCTGCCTCCATATAGTCGAAACACTGTGCGTCCATGAGAAGTATTTAACAATCGGTGTACAGTTTTTTTGTATTGAAAAACCAACTGAGCATGAAGATTTGAGAACAATCAAAAGGTTTCCTTTAAAAAAAGGTTTTTACTATGATATTCTTCTTTCCGTTCTTTTAAATTTATTTAAGTACTGAAAAATTTGGCTTGAGTAAAATTTTGCGTTATTTATTAGAAGTTTTGGAGATGCAGTATTCTTTTTAATCGACAGAAAATTACTTCCATACTATGATAACTATGTATGTATTTCGGAACAAAATTTCCTCAACAGCCTTATTTGTTTCCAAATATGAAAACTAGTATACTAGAGTCTACAAATCTTTCTGAATTATGCTTAAATTATGTATGTATGTGTGTTTATGAATGTATGAGTATTAGATAATTTTAACGTTTCGTATAGGGATGTATGCATGAATATATATACATACATACTGTCATTTGATCAAAAAGTACTTACCTAATGTACCTGGTAAATATGGACAACTAGTAACGTGATTAAAGTTTTGGCTCTGCATCTCCTCTTGATCCGTTTCGCGGTGATAGAAGTAATTGAAATTACTGACGATAACTGGTACCGGGAGAGCGATTGTCAAGACACCAGCAATGGCACACAGTGATCCCACGATTTTACCCCAAACACCGACAGGTCTGTTGTATCGATATATCGTTATTTTTTTTTTGGCATTTTTTGTTCAACATTTTTTTATCACGTGTTTATTATTTTCATTTCATTTTTAATTATATACATAAATTTTTTTTGCAGTGTAGTTGATTTACGTTTTCATACGTTTGCATGTGATCAATCATTCATTCATACACATATGATTTACGTGCGATAAATATTGATTTCATTCGATTCGATACGATTTTGATTTCGATTGCGGTACGTTTTTTTTTAATTAAATTTTTTTCGGATTTGTTTTGTTTTTAATTTTGATTGATTTAGTTATTTTTGATTTGGCATTGGGATGAAGTACGATGTGTAACGAACGAGAACGAACGATAATAAAATGAAAATACAAATATATAAAAATATAAAGTAAAATTCTGAAACTGCTTGGTTTTATTTTTTATTTATGTAAATATAAAAAAATATTGATAACGATATATATGTAGAAAGAATGTAATAACATATGATGATAAAAATACGTTAAACATGTAACGAAAAGAAAAGTTTAGTTACAAATAACGAAATACACTACGTTGAGAGCTTTTGTTTTCGAAAGAACGGGGGGCATAGAGATGTTGGAAACGATTTCTTGTGGTAAAAAGAATAGATAGAGTCATAAAAAAAATTTTCTTTATGCATAAAGGGCCGTGAGAAGAGCGTATTGAATCTATGTACAGAGTTGTTTTATGCGCAAAAAGTGTTATTGGAAGATCTTAAAGCTTAAACGGACGGCAGCGTTGATCCGGATTAACTCGGACTTAATCCGGATTAACTCGGACTTAATCCGGATCAACTGCAGTTAATTCCCGAGTTTATCCGGATCAACGCTGCCGTCTGTTTATGCTTTTACATACATATATGTATATGCAAGAAGATACAGCATGAGTGAACAGCAAAACTGAACGTGTGTATGTATAAGTGTTTATGTAAAATGTGGAGTATGTAAACCAGTAAATATGCTTCTAAATATTTAGTTTAGGTGCTTTCAATTAAGATTATAATAAATAAATACTTATGCGATAGTTTACGAGTTTTATGGAAATGCATGCAGTATGGTTGGTTATGGATGCTCTTTTTTATGTTTTGGTGTATATAAAATGGACTGGGGTACATAAATTATTAGTAATTGGCTGTAATGGACTCAGGTAGGTGCTTGTCAATAATAATTTGCTGATAAGATGTTCGGCGGAGGTACATATGTATGTACAGTCACTCACAGAAGTATTCGCAAATTAGTTTTTTCACAATATTCAAAATGTTTTTCATCATAAATATTTTTCATCTAAAATATAGCTCATTCCATAACACAAACCATATAAATAATTCTTGCAAACTTTGTGCAAAATTCATAAGAAGGAATCAAACTTAAAAAAATGTTCATCAAAAAGTCAAATATTTTTTTTCAGAATTAAAAAAAAAAATTGGTACGCAGTTTTGTAGCCCGTTCAAGCAGCTAAAAATTACTGCAGATTTGATAGATTTTTTTGTCGAGGTTGCTGCGCATTTTCTTCCATATAAAAATAGATTTTGTTCATGCCTTATATGGAAACAAATGCGCAACACCCTCGACAAAAAAAATCTAAAAAATCAGCAGTAATTTTTAACTGCTTGAACTGCATACTGAAAATTTTTCTAAAAATTCTGAATAAAAAGTTTGAAATTTTGATGAAATTTTTTTAAGTTTGATTAATTTTTATCAATTTTGTACAAAGTTTGCAAGAATCATTTATATGGTTTTTGTTGTAGAGGAGCTATGTTTTAAAGAACTAAAAATTAAATTAACGAAAAAGATTTGTTATGGAAAACATTTTGAATATTGTGAAAGCGAACACTGCTGTGAGTGACTGTATGTATATGAATATAAGAAGATGATCTATTTTAACGTCAGTGAGTTTCATACAAAAAGTAAAATTGCGGTTTAATGAGAAAAACTATTAAGCTTTTTTGGATTCCAGGCTAACTGACCTAATGTGGTTGAGTGCAAGAAAAAACCAGAATCCAAAAAGTTTAATTAACCGGAATTGACCATCAACTCATAATCAAATTGAAAGAAATTATTATTTCTAAAATATTGCAACCTGTTGAAATGTCAAGGTTTTTATTTCTAGATCACAGCAAAATCGTTAATTTTTGCTTATCTTTCTGCTATAAAAAATAATCGTTTATTTTGTGATTATAATTTTTTTTCGAGAGAAAATAATCGTTATATTATTTTTTCGATAATTTTTAACTGTTATAATGGAAACTAAAAAACGAAATCTCAAAATAACGATTATTCGTGATCAAAAAAATACAATATTAGAAAAATAGACGATTAAATCTTGACTTTTATTATAATGATCGCGTTATGGTCCCTGGCTTACACATATCAGTGATGTTAACCCAACTTGGCATTGAATTAAGGAGCTTTGTGAATAAATTTCTCTGAAATATCATGTGTGTATGTATTTTGCAGTTTTAAGCATAGTTCAGAATAGAGACGGCCATATAGAGCTTTTACTCTATGCGTGCTCATATTAGATCAGCGATGGGCAGAGGGAGCTTTTACTCTGCATCCGCCTATACAAAATATATAGAAAGTTTAAAAGAGCTTTGCCCGTGTGCAAGGAAGTGCCCATAACCGCCTTATATCAACTGTATTAAAATAAAATATTTATTTTTTATTTACATAAGTTGATTATAAACTTCTCATTTCAAAGAAATTAATCTGTACTACAGGTATGGAAATATTTGTTATGTTTGTTTCGAAAGACAGAAGTATCAACTCTTTCGACGATCCAGAGCTTATCTGAGGCAAAGAGCAGCTTCTCATAGAAATCAGTACATCACTACTCAGAAAATTTACCAGGCTTATGAGTATCCCAAAACGCCTGTAGTAAATATGTATAATCTTAAACGTTTAAGAAAGCCTATAAATGAATAATTGAAGCATTACCGCGGTAATCCTTATAGCGCATTATAGGCTGAACTATCACTTATCAATAAACTGGGATTTTAAACATACATGGGAACACATTTTTTAACTAAGGGCGCGATGAAATCTTGAGACTTAGGCTAAATATTCAAATTTGTATCGACTACTGGATTAGTAGATACACTTTAAGTCCATGATTGGGCGAACGAGAGGCCTTACATTCGAGCAACTCACAAAATTAAAGCATGTAATCATATGAAGTAGGCATTTTTTGTGACGCGGATGAGGAGGAATTAAAACGATAGGATGCAAGAATGTGATAAATGATGTGAATGCAAGAGAAGAAAATGTAGCGATAATAGCGAATGCATGTGTTTCATCCCTCAGGAATAAATAATTCTGTACAATATGTATTGTATATTTGCATATAATATTTGAAAATATACATTGCACATAAAAGAACGCACATGAAAGCATTTACAAATGAGCACATGATTTAACATTAAACCCAAGAAAATGAAATAATAATAATTTCTTAAACAAAATATACCGAAAGGAAATAAAAACGCACAATAACAAATAACAATTTCATAGATAAAAGCTCCATAAAACAATAACATTTTCTTTCAATTTAGTAAACGAAAAGAACCAAGCCGAATTTCAGTTTAAACAAATTTTTGCAAAAATATATTTTTGAAGCATAAAAAATGCAAAACATGCCCACATGCACAGAACAAAATTAGTAAGTAATGTATGTTATATTTTAGGTAAAGTTTGTTAAGGTAAAATGCATTAAAAAATCGTCTGCGAAATTTTAGAGTAAGGTTGAGTAAATGACTTGATTTTGAAGTATTTAGGATATTTGCTAGGATAAAAGGGGTGTAAAAGTAGTACTCTGATTTCTGAGATACATACATAGGTGATTTGATATCACATGAGTGTTTGAAGTGTGCAGTGGTATTTACTGCGTCGAAAATCGAACCAGATGCCGTATAAATTTGGTTCAAACATTTTTCGATAGACGTTCATACAAAATGTTTATCGAGATTCCATCAAGACAATTTAAATTTCGCCTACATTAGACAATAGATTTTGTTTTTTTTAAATAGTTCTACTGGAATAATCAAAGTACTTCCATAGTGAAAGTTTAATGACTTCTAGCGAGCTTTAATTTACTGGCATTAGGGCGGTACGATAGGGTTGGAGGAGCTGAGAAAGCGGTACTTGAGGCCAATTAACTTTAGAACAAAGAAAAATGGCTTCCTCGCGACAATAACATCTATATAACTTTAAGTTCCGACATTTGTAACAAGCAAATTTTACAAAACATTGACACCACTTCTTGTAACTGCAATTCTAGGTATGTACCTTGGTAACGTTCTGTTGCAAAGATCACACAGAATAGGCCTGTTAGTCTTTAAATTAAGATCCCTGATTTAAGTAAAGAGAATATTGATTGAAAGGTACTCTTGTTGCGTGAATACAAGTCTAACTTAAAAAGAACGCGCTTTAGTTTTCTTTCGTAGAATTTCTTTCACTTTTCCAAGCTGAAGTGGCAAATAGATGTATGGATAGGAGTTTACGAACATTAAGTTCCAGCCAAGCTGAGGTTAAAACCCTGCACAAGTTTCGAATTACTTAAAGTCAACTCGGAAATGCAAATCATGACTGAGTTATATTGTAAAATACAAAAGACTAACCCAGCTTTCCTTGGCTCCCAATTAGTAATATGGCTTCCTCGGTCAAACCCGACAAACGTTTTATTGCCACATAAGAACAAGAAGAAGACTTTATTCACAATCAGTGATGACTGAGATAAATAGGTGTGACTAAAATTTACTTAAGGGGAAGGGCGAATTGATCCACACCTGAATGTTATTTGTGTGATTCCGAAGAAAACCCATTTGACAAGGTAGCAGAAAGGACATATGCTTTAGAAATAGATTAATAGTGAAAAATAGCAGATCGGTGAGACTGAATAAAGGGGACCCTCCATTTTATGATTCCCGATACGAATGTATGTAGGTATATCAGTTCAGGATAGAATAAAAAGCAGGCTTGGGTCCAAACTAGCGGTGCTAGCACGCAGATGGCGGATGGAAATCTTTGAGAAGAGATGATGTAAAAGCGTTCCACAATGTCTATATCATACTCCTATCATGACGGACACCACAACAATTAAAATTTGAGATTATAAGACCGAATATTTAGTTATCTTCTCAGATTGCCAAGCGGTCATCCGGGCTCTCTCCAACAGCATAATTAAAATCCGTGCTTGGCACACACTTTGCAGGGTACCAGGCCACTGTGGGGTCAAAGACCACTACGTCGCCGACGAATTAGCACGATTGGGATTTTTAACAGCCTTTGCAGGACTGGACCCCTTTTGTGGTCCTCAGTTCATAATTATAAATAACCATAATTACTGTGTGGATACAATTAGAATGCAGTAAGTACTGCCGAGCGGTACGGGGTCTTATACAAGCATATTAAATGTAACCCATACACAACTATGCTGTGGGCAATTGGCTGCTATGGATTTCTTTAGTTAAGTCTAAGGTATTTTGGGTCCTTGGGACTCGCTTTAGGGATAAAAATGATCTTTCAGATCGTTGTGTTTCTATACCCAATTGCTTAATGAACGAACGAAAATAATAGAAAGCAAAAAGTAGGTTTCTAACAATTGGAACTAAACGAAGGTACTTTTATAACTTTAAGATTTGAAACATCCAAATTCTTCCTTAAAAGCTTGACAGAAGCCATGATGAATGAAACAAAATTAAAGGGGTTAGCATAAAGCTATGACCTTATGGTAAGAGGTGCCTATTTTCTTGACCAGCTAAAGAAATTTCTCAGTTTATAAGAGAGATAGTTTTACTCGGCTTTAACAGAGATTAAGCAACTCCATTCCAATTGAATTTAAAAAAGCTTTTCCAAAACTGCATATGTATAGTAAACTGGCACTGAAGATGTCAAAGGAATTCCGTTCCACAATACATTATCTATAGCGAAACCTATAACCTGAAGGCATTAAAGGAATTGGAATTGTTTTTACTTACTATTTCTTAAGGAATTGTCATAAGGAATTGTTTGTTCGCAGAAGGAACCGCAAAGGTTATTTATATCTTACAAAAAAATTTGGTGAAGTAAAATCGACATTTATGACCGATGTATCCAATAAAAAGGTTTTCGAAAATCATTTTTTTCTAAGATTTTTAATGAAATATAGTAAAGATGCATTTGCGCGAAAAGTATGGTAATTTATAAAAAATTTAATTACAGCATTCTCTAAATCAACGTGTGAAGTCAACATTAGGCGTGTAAGTACTGGATGGACGCGAATGAGCGAGCGCAAGGTAATGCAGAGAAGGATGATGCAGAATAAATAAGAAAACAAGTAATTGCAGTCTTGTTGTGCACACCTGCCTGTTGTTTTTGAGAATCAATGTTTCGAATGCGTATGTATGTGTATGTGTAAAAAAATGGAGATGTTTGTCAAGGATGTGAGCTGCAATGAGAACAAAGGCATGAATGAAATCATCGAAGCTTTGAGAGTATTTTGTGAATAAGAGAATAAAGATTTTGATGCAATTAGGTGAGTGTCAGTTGGAATATTTGTATGCGTGCATTTGTTTGTTGTTGGTAAATGATTGATGCATATTAATGAAAGTTGTAGATATATGTATGTTTGCGAAATTTGATAATTGAGAAAATGCAACTGCGATGCAAATGATTTTTCGAATGAAAATCTACTGATTTGAAATTGGAAATTTAACGGAATATGTTTTAAGCTAATTTTAATAGTAAATGAATTTTAAACTTTTGCAATAATTTGCAAAACGAATAGAATTACTAACTAAGCTTATGGGTGAGTTGGCGTACGAAAAAATGAAATGCAGCGGCAAAATGTATTTGAATAATTATTACAAAAACGCTATTTAATAAACTTTCGAGTACTACATTGACAATTTTGAATACTTATTAAAAATTCGGTTACAAGCGTGTAAGTCGTACACTTCGAAACAGTCGACAGTTTTCGAAACATTTTGCTGTGCTATTTAATTTCTTCGGTAAGCTGATAACTTTAAATCCGAAAAAATATATACTCAGCAAATGAACTTATGCGAAAAGTTAAAAAAAAAAATAATGTAAATAGTAAGTGAAAATATTTATTATTAGTAGATTTTGCATACGTCATGTCACCATATCCAACGGTTGTCATGGTAACGACAGCCCACCAAAATGCATCGGGTATGGACTTGAAGAAGGAATTTTCGCTTCCAGCTTCCGCAAAATAAACCGCCGATGAGAAGAGTACAACGCCTAGAATCAAATAAATTTGTTGGTTTCTTCGCTTTGGTTGTTTTGAAAGAAATTGGCATGAAGTTGTTGGGAAATAGGGAGCATGGAGTGTAGTGTGTGTAGGATTTGAAGGAAAGTGGATGAGGTGGAAGGCACGAAAGGACTGTATTTTACCGTGATGATTGCAGGATAAATTTAATGAAAGGAATGAAAATTTTTGAATATTAAGGAATTAGAAGGGATTTTAGGGCAGGCTTAGATGATTGAACTATTTAATCGAGTCAGTGGTTCTGTATTGGCAGTTTAGATATATATATTTTTTGCATTGATGTTGGTACTGTTAGTGGCGCTGAAGGTTTTGGTGTAGGAATTTGTTAGTAATGTTACATTTTTTTATTTATACATATGTATGTATGCAATTGTTTGGGGAGTTGCGTATTAATGTAAAATTGTTTCATTCGGTGTTTATTTCATTGCACACACTTAGCCGAAGAAATGCACTGCGCAATGATCTATTTTTTTTTCGACGCTGAAATTAAGTTCATTGATTGCCACTACTTAAAATCCAGATAACATTTCTTGGTTGTAAGAAGTTTGCCCACATACTATTTGTTATTTGTCGTAAAATAATTAAAATATTGTAAGTCGACTGAGCATTCATTAATGAAGAAATTCAATTTTCTAAGTAAATGATAACCTAAACATGTTTTTTTTTTAGTTTTAAAAGAAGCATACTTACATATGCAAAGTGATCCCAAGCAGAATTTAATGAAAAAGTTGAGTTTAAAAGTCACTTAAGCTTCGAACGTTTTTTCAAAAATAAAATTATATTTGCATCGTGTGGCAGTTTCAAATAGATACTAAGAACATGAAAGAAAAGCCAAGAAATAAAGAGTGTTGATGATTTGTAAATGATAGTTACTAGGAAGGTCCTTGAAAATATCAACATCATTTTCCACGAAAATTTCTAAATTTAAAAAAAAATTATGGGTTAGGTTAGGTTAGGAATTTACATTAAAAAAAAATTGCGAAAATTCGAAAAAATCTTAATTTTGACCAGCGATTTTTCGAATTTATATGAATAAGTTAAATTTTTCTCGAATTTTTGCGATTAAAAAAAAAAATTATTTTAAAACCGGAAGCAACCTCTAAAAATTTGTTTAAAATTTCCCGGATGTCTTTATTTTGTGCGCAGACCAAAATAAAAAGTTGTCCCATACAAAATTTAAATGTGGATAATTTAAGGACCATCCTAAAATGTATACTACATAATTGTCTTCATGTATTTTAATGCGCTGAATGACAAAATAATGGAGGGTCTTTTAAGCAATGGTACTTCTAATACCGTTAAAAATATTTCGGTTGCTGTTAAAAGTCGTTTTATATATGTACTTGTACTTGCAGATCAAGTGAAAAAAAAAATAAATAAAGAAAAATACAAATCTTCCATTGCGACTGGACCCCAACTCAAATTTTAGCGTTTGGTATAAAAATGATCCTTCAGCAATCTCTCCTCTTTATAGTAATTCCAAGAGGTTGCAACATACCAGTAGTCTCCAACGATGCAAGCTTCCGTAGAGACGCTACGCGGAGTCAAAGGTCACCGAATACTTTTTTTTGTAAAAACCTTGTTAACGGTGACGGAGAAATGGTGGTTACCAAGTTTATAGCTTATGAAGAATTCACTAACTTTTATTCGTAAGTTGGGCTGGGATTTTGGCATTAATTCGCAAACTAGAAGCAATTAGGAAAACTAACGATTTATTCGGAATCAGTGGCTTAAAAATTAACTCATAAACTATTGGTAAACAAACCATAGTTTCATTAATCTAGTTTTCAAATAGTAGCTGGAAGAAAAATTAAATATTTCTCCAAGAGGGAGCGAAAAATAAATAATGAAACGCCAAGTTACTAGCAAAAGCTAGTGACAATTATTAGTAACTAACCGTACGAGAACCAACTTAATTTGAACATTTTTGTGGTGATGCCACATAAACAGCTACGGAGCTGGTTACAAGAATTTGGGCCTAGTTTTTGAGTACCCTTAATTTAACCAGATATTTTACAGGGGTCCTGAAGAGAAGATAACCAATTTTCCCCCTGAAATATGCAAACCCAAAAAACAACTGACTTTAATTTTGACACTTTGTCAATTTTTGCATGGAAACGGTAAGGAGCAGAAGCATAGAGAGACGGCGGCGCACAGTGGGACGGCCCCATATAAGCTACGGACAAAAGTAGTAACCGTCCTACAAATTCGCTGAAATTTACGTTACATTTTGGCTCAAAATGCTTTTCAAAAACCGCTGAAATTCGCTAGAATACAATTTTCGGATACTTTTTTCTTGCATTTGAAAGCATAAGTATATGGCATTATTTAATATATACTTAAAATATATTGTAACTCCTCTTGTTTAGAAGTTAAGAATGTTTCAACAGCGGACTGTTAAATAACCATTTTTGGAAGTATTTTTTGAATCCGCATAATTGTTTTTACGCAATTCGCTAATCGGTTTTATTAGTTTTGGCCGCGTAGTCCCATTGTGCGGCATTGATTCGCACCGGGGATATAAATGAAGTCCTACAGCTATTTGTTAAAATTAATGCGGATCAGTGGTAAATTCATCAGAGGTGCTTACTACAACTCAGTGGGACACAGGATCGATACCCAATTCGAGAAAAATGTTAAAAAAATACTTTTCTTTTTTAATGTCATGTTTTTATTTCTCTTTAAAACTTCTTAAATTTAATGGCATGAAATAAGTCCACAACTATAATTGCATTAAAACAATACTAATAAAATACTAATTGGAAAACCTAAAAAAGGAAATAGAAATTTTTCTAGTTGCGTGATCGAATCTACGGCGCCTTTAATCCGGATTAACAATGGCCTCTATCTTTGCTATAAGACACCTACGATCCATTATGTTAACATCACGGGGGCTCGTGTCGAACAGAGCTAAAGGCCGAAATAAGTCGACCTAGTGAGAAAATTAAAATTCTAAAATTCTAAAAATGACTCAAGAGCTGAAGCACCAAAGAAAGAACAAGTGATTACCATTGTGTTTGAATTTTACAATCTATAATAAATCCGCAGTAACTTTTGGGAATTTCGCATTTTTTTCAATATGAAATATGGTGATACGATGCAAAGCAGAGTTAATTTTGCCGACAAAAATATAATAAAATAAAAATAAATAAAGAAAAAAGTAATTATGTAAGTTGTGCTTGGGCTTTAAATGTATTCATGCAAATAAAATTATTAAAATATTTAAAAATAACACAGTTTTTCATTTCGCTGAAACATGTTTAAACTAAAAGAAATGTATACTAAAACAAAAGCGAACTGCTAAAATATAGGTAGTAAAAAAAATTAAATTCTCATAAGGAAAATAGTTTTGTAAGAACACAATTTAAGGGCACAATTAATTTGTTAGCACAACACCTACACACACGCACACTTTTTTTTACAATATGCGTATATTAAAATTTCACTTTTTAACACATAAATTAAATATTTGTAAATGAAATAACTGAATAAATATTCTACAATTCACGCACAACAAAAAACAAACCGAAAAATTCACAATTTTAATGAGTAACTGCCAAACAACGGAACGACAACGAAGATAGCCACAGCGTGACACAAATGCACCAAAATTACATGGTGACACAGAGGCACGGGAATTATTTGCTTATTTATATCATGTAAAATTATTGCAAAATTATAAAAATCCAGATACTTAAATATTTATAACTTAAAAAAAGGAGAAATGGAGCTGTTATTACACAAGTTGAAGTAATAGTTCGAGAAAGAGATTGAAATAAAGTGAGAGTTGTAGTGAAAGTTTATATCCTTTTCATGAAATCAACATAAATATATATGCAAACAGCTGTACAAGTTCGAAAATATTCAAATATAGCATGTTATCAATAATTATAATTATCAGGGGCGGTAATCATTTTGCGAAAAAAATTTAATGAAAAATTGTTTAATACAAAAAGTGAGACCACGAGTTTATCTATAATGTATACTTAGATATTCTATTTATTATGATTGGTATTAATTAATAAAAGTTTATGTATTTTTACAGTTTTGTATAAAATAACTTTTGACTCATATTTCCTTTAATAAATCCTAAGTTGTAAAAATTTGAATCAAAATAATTTATATCTTCAAACGAAATGTATCAGAGTTAGGGGATAATACGTATGGTGGGGTTTCACTAGTTCTAAAGTTGTTGGAAAGGAAAAAAGTTTTGATAATTTGACAAGAAATTTTTTGAAAAATTGTGAATGCCAGATTCGCGCAACATACAAAATGTCGCAAAAAGGCAAAAAACTAATATGCGTAGCTTTTCAATAATTCTAAAGCTCCTTATAAGGAAAGAAGTTATAAAAAATTACGAAAAAAAAGTTCAAAAAAGTCCCAAATATCAAAAAATAAAAACGAAAACTGTTCTGAGTAGCTTTTCAGTAGCTCTTAAGTTCCTAATATGGGGAAAAAAGTTGTGCAAAATTGCGCGGAAAAAAAATATTTTATCAAAAATAGAAAAAGCTTAACGTTTGAAAAAAAAATATAAAAATTAAAACTGTTCTGAGTAGCTTTTCAACAGTTCTAGAGTTCCTATAAAGGAACACGAAAAATTATACAAAATTACGCCGAACAATTTTTTTTTAAGTCGAAAAAGGTAAAAAAAAATTCGTCGTAATAAAAAAAAACGGTTGGACTTAGAGAGGGAAAAGTAGTAGTCATAAATATTAAGATTATTAGTCAGAAAAAGTGTGAGTACCGGTCCGTCAGGTCTTGAAATTAGGCGAATGTTTTAGAGAATTTTGTGTAGTTTTCGAATATATAATTCGATCTTTACGCGCGACTTTGCAAATATATGTAATTTTTGATTTTCTTAATTTTTGATTTTCAGCTTCTTTTTGCATAATTTCGCGAAAAGAAGTTTCAAACAATGAAAAAATCTCGCCAAATATTAGGAAAAGGGCGAGTTTTTACACCTAAGTCTTTT